TTTGTTTTTAATAAAATATCTTTTCTAAAAATTCATCAAGTTACCCATCAGAACTTGCTTTAAACTACACGCTGTGAGCTGGATGCTTTCAAGCTTCGAGAAGAGTGTGCTGTATGTACAGATGGCATCAAAAGAGCTAAGAAAGCACCTAAGCAAGAAAAGTGCAGGAATATAGCGATAAATCTATACTGTCCATAAAATTTTCTTTAAAAAAAGTGGATGGTGGTCTCAGCCATGCTATCAGTAAAGTGTTTTGGTTTTTTTTTATCTCCCCCCCCACCCCCCGAGGAATGTCTTTGACAGCAACTTCCAAATGAGGAAACATGGTAATCAGTTTTCTGAAGATGTTTGAAACTGCATTGTAGGAAATGTTGCAGATCTTCAGTCAATTTAGTGTAACAGAGAAGAAACTTGAAGATGTAGAAGAAATGGAGAGGTGCAGACAGTGGGATGGTCAATGAACAGGCAGCGTTACTGAACAGCCTGAATTGGCCCTGGGGACAGACAGTGACTGAACTGGGTTAAGGCAAAAGATGAATTCAGTTTGATGGTTGTTAGCGAGAGACTGGTAGAGTTTCTCAAAGTGAAAAGCTACTGCTGTTCTACGATGAGCAGATGGGGTACTATTTTTCTTGTTAATTTTCTAAGTTTCTTTCTGAATTGTTAGAAGCAAGAATGTCAGAAAAAGACCTCACCTTATAATGATCAATTCTATAGAAAAGAAAAGGCTTTGTTATTCTCAACCATTTTTTTTGTTTTTATGGTTTATAGCATTTGGCCTGGTCTAGCAGAAGATTTAAGGATTTCATTATTAAACTATTCTTGCTTTTAAAATTCACCTGTGGTGTAAATAAAGGGTTTGTTTGCCAGTGGAAACTGTGGTTTCAGTGTAGTGGTTTCAGAAACGAACTTTCAGTTAGTAATGATGTTTTATGATTTTGTGCAACTCGAGAACAAAGTAGCAGACATTTGGGGAGAGGTGCCCTCTCCTGTTTTAGTGACCCATGACACCCTTGAGGATGCAGAGCTGGGTGAGGAGACACAGGAGGCAATGCTGCCAGTCGGTGCTGAGACAGATTCAGAGAAGAGTTGTCCTTTCAGTAGGGACTTAGGTGCTTTTTCATGGTTTACTAAATATCAGACTGTGCACTCAAAGTTTGCAGTCTGGGATTCACAGAAAGACTTGAATAGAAAAGGATGCTTATTTCAGGATAATCCAATTTGAAGAACATCCAACTTTTAAAAAAACTTTATAGCCTTAACTTTCGCTTCTTTGCTACAAAAGGTTTAGTCAACTCGACAAGAAAGTGGAAAAGAAAGCAGTAACCTTCTGGATCACACTGGTTTAATTGCATTAAGAGGATTCATTGTATGCATCTTAAAGAGTAACTGCTTCTTTTTTTTTTTAGCATTGTTATGTAGCAAATGGTGTCACTATTTGTACTTATTAAAGCTTGTCAACTTTACCAGAAAGTTTTGCACTAAACATTATGGAAAATACTATTACAAACCCCTAACTTACATCTTCATATTTATTCCCAAATTCATTATCCCCAGTATTTCTTAGACAAGACGTTATCTATTTTGCTGGAGATCTGGAGCTAAACACAAGAGCTAATCCCATCACTGAAGCAACTGCCCAGGCACAGAAGATGAGAACAGATTTGAAAGATCCTGCAAATTCCTAGACTTCCTTGCAATTCCAGTGGGCTTTGCTGCTGTGGGTTTCCAGCAGCAGCTAAACCTAAAATATTCCTGGTAGCTGTGAAATGAAGTGGATCTTGGAACCTGTTCCACTCAGAGGTTTTTTTATGGCTATCCCTCAGGTAATCTACAGTACAGTTTAACTGCAAATTTTTCATCTTTCTGGATGAAAAGATCTTTTCTCTATATCTTCATCTGGGTATGTATCTCTTCTCTAGTTATCTACATCGATCTATGTCACCAGCTTAAATAACCTGCTTACCTGTATCAGTCCAATGAATCATTCCAAAGGATGTCAACTTACTGACTCCAGGCTGCTGTGGGGTGAGGGTCCTTTTGGGATGGGGGGGATGCTGGTGATTTATTTTTTTCTTCAGATGATTTTTTCTTCTTTTGAGGGTCATAGTTTGTGCTAATCTTCTTAGAAATGTTTGCACTGCCTCTTTGTTTTAATAATTCTTGCATTGCCTTTGTCATCTAACTGAAATGAATTCTGAATACTGGATTTGAGACCTAGCCTAGCAAAAAATGTCTCTCAATACACCTTTCAAGTTTGACAGTATGTTAACATTATATTTTAGTGTTTTAAGTTTTGAATCTACTGTTTCCAGCCAATTTGAAAGCATCATTGTGTCTATCCACCTTGCTCTTCTTTTCCCCTAAATTTTGTGTTTATTCCTCTTGCTTTGGTCATCTGTTCACTCTTCAAGGTCTCAAGCACATTGATACTCTAGGTACGACAGCATTGGCCTTACTACTGAACAGTAGTTTGATTCTTTCCATGATCTTTTTGCACCACTAGTAGGTAGTTTGCTTGAAACCTTTTATTTGACCTTTATTTTATTTGCTGCTTATGTCCAGCTTTATATGTAGCTGATTTTATTTATCACAAGAGCCCATCTGTATCATTTGTTTTATACTTTGAAGCAATTTATTTTTCAGATGCAAAAAACTCTAACAGACTTATTAAAAGTTGTGTCAAATTTTACTTTCTGATTTTTTTTTCTGTGAAAGGAAACTAGTTCTTGATTTCAACAGCTTGACTTTGGTTCTACACCATTGAGTCCCTTCATTTTCAGGGTATCACAGGACACACAGTACTAGGTAATGTCCTTGAGTTTTACTGTTCCACATCACATAGAAATTAATTGTGCCCTCAGGTTTTTATTTTTTTGAGTGATCATCATATTAGTTCTGAGTATAATAAGAGCAGGATGTTTTTGGGGGCTGCTGTCAGTTTTTTCTTTCCTAATTTTAAACTCACTAACAAGGCCAGATTTTGGGGAAAAAAAAAGTTTAAAACTTTTAAACTGTACTTCAAGCACATCTTTGCATAGAATTAGGTTTGCATCGTATCTGCTGCAAACAAGTTCATTTTGCACAGTACATGCTATCACGTGGTTACATCAGAGGGAAAAACCATGCAAGAAATTTTTTAAACATATCAAGAATTGTCCATACTGCCTGTGTAGATACTAGTTATTTTTTTGCAAAGAAATAACAGTGCATGACTCTCAGGTGTTGCTTTCCATTTTAATCACACGCTCATCATTTTCAGTTTTAATGATACGTTCATATAGGATTATGGCTAAAAGTAGAAAGGATATAAGTAAACATTTATATACATCTTTCAGTGCTTTTCCTTTTTTGAAATTTAATAGCATATATTAGAGTGAAATAACTTTTTTTTTTAACACAGAGGCCCTGAGAAATTGAAATGTACTGACTAGCCTAAAGGACATGAAGAATCCTGTTTTTAATGTAATTCTGAATGAAAGTCCTACCTTTATAACTGAAGAGATTATATTGATTTTAATCCAAACGTTCTACAGTGCGGGGAGAAAATGAAACCTTTCATTACCTATAGCTGTGGTATTTACATTCCAAAGAGGTACTCTAATTAATAGAAATCTTAATTTATGTCTCTAAATGCTGTATTAAGAGTGCTAATTTCAGGAACCATTTACTTTTGTTTAAAACTAGAGCATATTTTATTGTTCCATGCAACTAAGAGACTTCTGTCACTAAATGCTGTGTAAACACTTTTGACGATTTAATCCTAAAAATAGAATCTCATCATTGCCACATGTAGTAGAAATAAGTTAATATAGATTTGGAGGGAAAAGGTATGTTCATGCGTGTGTGTGTATGTGTGATTGTAAGTTATTGCTATGGTGTTGCAGATAACATGTTATACAGGAATCTAGTTAATGTGAATACCATAGTGGGGAAAGCAGTAGAGCATGGTAGTAATATATTCATGTTAACACATAATTTTGGATTCTTCTCAGTCAGTTCTTCCTCAATACACATGAACTTCCAGCTTTAAAAACTCCAAACAGCAGTCATTTCTAGAAGAAATAAGGAATTGTTTCATTTTCCTGAAATGTTTAGAAAAACACACACTGCAGTTCAATAGAATTTTCCTGCACTGAAAGATGAAAGAAAGTATTTAATACAATTTATTGGGGATGAGCTATATGGCTTTGTAAAGGAAGTTATGCACTACTGATAAGCAACCTTTCTGTAGTCCATGCCTCGCTCACTAAGCATGTGGACCTAAGGCAGCTAGTACAATCTGCTTGGATTTCCAAAACTGGTTTGAGAGGGACAGTCCTCGAATTTGTAAGTGGTGAAAAGAATAAGACAAAGGAAAGGGGACAAATGGTCAGTGGAAAGAAGTCACTGGAGGATGTATGCTATGGTCTGTTCTACTCAATACAATTGTAAGTGATCTACAGAAGGGAGTAAAAAGCAAGATAACAAAGTTGGTGACAATACCGTGTTACTCTGAAGTAGTAAAGAAAATGAGTGACTGCAAGAAATTGCAGAAGGACCTTGTGATATTGACTGTGTAGGCTATGAGTGGAAAAGGAAAACTGAGTTTTGATAAATGTGAAATAATATGCATGGGGAAAAATGATAATAAATTCACATATAATATGATGGGGTCTCAGCTCATCCTATAGATGAAGTCTTGGAATTATGATCTATGAAAATATTGCCTCCAATCTCACTAACAGTCAAAAAATCAAATACAATGTTAGAAACTGTAAGATAAGGAATAGAGAACAAAGTAGAAAACCTCACTGTGTCACTGTATAAATCCATGAATACCAAGTGCACTTCTGGTCTCACCATCTCAAAAAGGTTCAGACAAACATATCAAGGTTAATCAAAGGTATAAAAGATAATATAATATGTATGTATAGTATGGGCGACATTTAAATAGACTGTATCTTTTTAACCTGGAAAAAAGGTCATTGAATGAGGACCAGATGGAGACAACTTACTCATCAATCAACGCACGTTTCTCGACATTCCTTTTCTGTTTGAAATCTATTGTTGGTACCATTACAACCTCCGTACCAGAACTGGCCACAAGAATTGCTGTTCTTGTCATAATACCATTTCACCACGTAGTTCCGACAATCCCCTGGTTTCATAGGTTCCAAGCACCTTGGATCTGAAAGTATATCAGTAAAGGTTAGGTTCAATTCTGGGGACAAGTTACTTTATGCTAGAAGTGCCTCCTCCAGTAAGAAGAGCACCCCTTTTTTTTCTTTCCTGTAGTGCCTGGGAGTATATATGCCTCTCTCAGGTTTGTGGCCAAATTCCATTTCTATTAATGAGTTACCTAAACACGTCTAAACAAAAACAAGATCAGTTTGAAATGAGACTGCCTAAATCCTCATGTAAGAACCAAGCTGCTGTTTAAATACCCAAGCACACAAATGGTACACATGGGTTGTTTGTCATCTAGGTTTGAAAATCTGGCTCTCACTGTGTGTGATGTCTGTAGACAGAGCACCTAGAAAAACAAAAGGTGATAAAATCTAGTAACTATACTGGGGGAGGGAATGGAGTTTGCTCATTGGGTTTTTGGTGCAGACTTGCTACCCAATATCTGAGGACACTATTTATTACTTACCTTTTTGTGTTGTTGCTACCTGTGTTTGCAACACAGTTAGGTTGTGATCTTCAGTAGCAGTTACAGTGAACAAAGGATTGACAACTGGACCCTGAGGTCTGATTTCAGATATGTCATCAAGCGAGGGAAATCTCGATTCTCTGTCAGTAGAGGTGGTCACAGTGTGATCCTGAACAGATGGCAGTGGCTCAGTATATCTGGTCTGTTGTGGACTAAGCTGCAAAAGGAGTCAAAATCTTAAAACTTAAAATTCTGTATCAGCTCAGATGCTACGAGAAAAATTTGACAGAATTGCATAGGAAACTTTTGCTAAATAACGTGAAAAATACCATTAATAGCAGGTGCGTTCAGACCTCCTTCTAGTGATTACTCAGTACGTGACCTAATTTTCTGAGACTGAAAGCTGAATGAAAAGGCAAAGTAATGCCTTCAAGTTAGTCACTAAGCTGAATTCATTCCATCGAAGCAAAATTTAAGTCACCACTTAGACTGTAATATAAATAAAACAAAAAATGGAAAGAACTCTGAGGTAAATCAACACTTCTGAACATCTAGTACACTCACTGGGAATGATCTGACATCTTCAACCTTCTTGAGCACAGCAAAAATTTCCAAAACTTGTGTTATGGGAACCACATCCTGTTAATAAGATTGTCTCATAGATGTGTCCTTGCTTATATCAAGGTAAGTGATAAATCACCCATTTTCCTGTTTCTAGCTAACAGCCAGTTGCTAATCATTAGAATTTTAGAGTTTACCTTGACAGAAGTGTTAAGAAGCCAACCCTGCTCTTCAAATTAAGCCTATTATATGAAAATTTGCCTGTATAGTGTTTTAGTATATTCAAGAAGATTTGCAAGGATTATAGTATAGTACAAATGACTGCATTAATCTCACACATTGATTACCTACTGAGAACAGTAAGGAATCTGATACTATTCAATATCTTCCTGTTTACAGGCCACTACTGACAAAGCCAAAGGCTGTTTAAGAAAACTCTTCAGAGTCATTTGGTCTAGGTGAAATGTAAATGTGCAGACAATTAATCCAATCCTTTGCATATTGGATTTCTTCTCCAGGACTACAAAAAGGCTGTGTTTGTTTCTGATAGTCATTCAACAGTTTTGAAGATTTAACACTAACCATGGCCAGCCAGAACCAAGTGTGTGAGCATCTAATCACTTAGAACTAATCCTATCTGTGGTCCTTATCACACGCTTTATAAAGTCAGAATCTATAAATCCAGATTTACATTTATTTTTCTTAATGATATAGAATGTCAAAATTGATCCTCAGTGTCACACAGATCTGTCCGGTGGTATTAGAAGCCCAAAACCTAAATCAGTCACACCTACCGAGGGAACTCTTATTCAAAGAAATTAAACTGAATTTTGAAAGTGAACTATTTAATTATGAATGCTATTACATAAACAATAACCCAAAGGATTAGTAGTGGCTAGTCCACTGACTCCTCCACAGTAAGTCCGTAAGATTTAATTAGCTCCAATCTGTATTCAATTCACTTAATACTTAAATATCAGTATCATGGTCCACTATATCCATTCCATGCAGCTACAGAGGTTTATACATCAAATATTTCAATAGTTTGCTCAACAGGTTATAGGGGCAAGCAACACTCAATTCTCATCATTGGCTATTTTTAGGCAAAAAAATAAAAACATCCTAGACAGTTAGTGCTGATATATGGTAAAGGTGACAAATACCCTACTCTGACATTAAGACAGTGGCTGAAAAATACCAAAAACCTAATAAGGGAACTAAGGTGATACACACCTGCAGAAAATATTTATCAATTGCATTAAAACTCCACCTGTCCTGTCTATCTGTGCAGCAGCACCATGTTGGAGGGTAGAACCCCAATGCAGGGCAGGAGGAATTTAAAGCTGGAGAATGAAGAGTAACATGAATGCAGAGTCCTAGAAGTACAGCCCAATGTGGAAAGCAAAACAAAACTGAAGGCTTAATAACACCTGGAAAGTGCATGACCACGACAAGAAGCCTGTTACTAACAATCAGCTTGCACATAAATAAATGCCTTATACACTATGTATGTGTCTCAATAGAGATGTATCTGTAAGACTTCTAACTCAATTCTAAGATCAATAAGAACTACAAAAAATGTGAGGACTGTTGGCATTTTATTGCAACTAAGAAACGGTATTACCCTCCTTCTGTAAGCTTCTGCTCTCAACAAATAAGTTCACTCTAACTTTAAAAGTTTTTTTGTTCAATTCTTTTGGTCTAGCCAAATGACACATTATTTGCATATTAGAAAACTGGCAAATGGTGAAATAAAGAGTATTTGAATTCAAATAAAGACACACATTTTTAAAAAATATTTGATAACAGTTACTTCTTTACTTACTGGGTAACTGATTCCTTCTGTAGGGAGCACATAAATCTTTGGAGTAGTCATTTTAGGTAACTGGCTATTAGTATCTTCATTAGGAATTTCAGATTCTGGACTTGGAGATGGAGATAAAACGTTATCTTTTCTGATGTAGACTTCAGACACATTCTCACAGATTTTTGTGATCAGTTTATTTTCAAGAGCTGAAAAGATTAACAAAATGAAATTTATTAAGGACAAACAAGAAAAGTCATAATGATTCACCACAAGCTTTTAGTGCAGTATTAATCCTAAATCAATTATAATGACTTGTGAAAGACCATCTTCTAAAGTTATGTCAAAATGCAAATGACAAGTAATAAAGTAATACACTCTCTGAATTATTTGTTTTTAAGGCCCTTTTGTTCTTTATAAGAATAAAAAGATAAAAATACCAAGTCCCTTTTAAGTAGAACTTTTAGCTAAACAGTGAAGAAAAAAAAAACAGAGTGAAGGAAAGAAAGTGTTTATGTGTAAGAAAGAAAAAAAAAAATATCTGAGTGACACATTCTACTTAGTTGCACAAAAAAATTCAGTGACTGGAAATACTTTGATGCTGAATGCTGGAGTCTGAGTCAGAGCCCTAAATTTAATCCCAGCTGGGACCATAACCTTAGCTTGGACTCTTCTCACTGTTAATGCTTTAAATCCAGACTGAACTCCATCCACAGGCTCAGCATAGCAAAATAAGTTCAAGCTCAGGAAAAATATACTTTACAAGGCTAGTCTGCGGTTAGTCTAGATCAATGTACTTTTTATTCATGGGTCGTTATAGATTTCCTTTGGATTTTTCTCCTGATTCCAGCTGCGGCCACAGGATTGTTTCAAGCCAGAGTTTGAAATATACAATGTACTATCAGACCCGATTCCCTTGTCTGTTGGTCCACCACTTTTCCCCTAGAATCAGGATGGAAGCGTGGGTTTCCCTATAGCTTTCAGAAAAAAAACCTCAAAAGAGTGCTTGTAAGAAATGGTGGAAGAACTCCAAGACTGACAAGAGTCATATGAAATAAAGAGACAGAGATGTTGTGTCAAGGTGGAAGGAAATCTGCAACTCGCTGGGATGAAACCATGGTCAAGCACAAAAGGACTGTGAGGGAAGGCTGATGCAAGCTCTTACAAAAGAGGAGTGCCCCAAAGGCAGCCTTGGCTCAGAAAACTGATGTTCGTTGTGTTTTATTGCTTCTGCAAGACGTAAAAATTTGCCAAAGGTTTCATTTGGCCAAAGAAGAAGAGAAACAGAAGAGACAGCTGCATCCATAAGCTGCCATTCAGCAGCTGCCTTGCCTTGCTATGGGAAAGGCCAAACTCTCTTATATGCTTATTTCAAGTTTCCTCTTACTACAATAGTTTCTTTTACCTGAAAGCGTCATGAAGTCATCTATCTGGTAAAAATGTTCTTCATCAGGGTCTGTTGCAATGAGCTGCATTTCTTTCAGAAAATCATCATAATGAAGATCAGTCCTTTGAACAATCCCAATGACAAATATCTCAATATTAGCAACATGGGCCTCTCTTACTACAGTATCCAGTTGTACTTTATCACGAGCGTCTGCTTGTCCATCTGTTACTACAACAGCCACTTTTCTTACTGCCGGACGTGCTGTCTGAAATAACTGAATGGCTTCTTGGATAGCAGAAGCTGTGTATGTACCTTCACCTAAGTAGGGCATTTTATCAACAGCTGATTTCAGGTGTTCTTTGGTTGTGTATTGCTTCAGAGAAGACACCAACTCCACTTTATGGCTGAAGTTGATAACACCAATGCGGGTTGTAGCATGGTTGGCCGATACCTTGTCAATGACTGTTTTCATAAAAGTTTTGATAATATTGAAGTTATCTGGACCGACACTTTCTGAACTGTCAATGACAAATACTAGTTCCAGTGGTGTTACTCTGCATCTGATACCACAACCTAGAAGAATAACCATTTCAGACACCTTATGAGAAATCACCCTCATAAAAATGAATTGAACTCATATATCAGATTTACAGTCAGTTAAAGCTCAATTAATGAATTAATTTATAGTTACAGATACTGATAGATAGAAACAGAGCTGGACCAGTATAGCTCTGGCAACACAGGGAGTGTCGTTTTCACATCAATGATATCCTTACATACAAACATGCAGAGGACAAATCCATTCAGTCAATATAAATTCAGTGTGTTTTATTAGAACTATTTTTTTCCCATACTGGAATGCTTACCACATATTTCATTGATAAGTCTGATAACTTCTTCTCTCTGAAAAAGAGTATTAATTAATTTGCTGTGTGTTCTACTTTTAAGAACACTGAAAGCTATTTATTTATTTACAAAAATGCAGGCAATATAATGCCCCATCAACAATCTTGTGTAACATCACATAACCTTTAAGCATTTTCCCAAAACAAACTCCTATCTTTTAAATTAATTCACTCACATACTTACCGAAAGACCAGGTTCACCTTTTCTTCCCCAAATTCCCTGAAAACATGTAGAGTGAGATAATCAACAAAAGCCAAATTTGTGTAATTTCTATTGTGTAAAATTAAGTAATACAAAAATGTGTTTTACCTTTGGTCCTGGAGGTCCTGGGTCTCCCATCTCTCCTTTGGCACCTTTGCTCCCTGCATCACCTTTATCTCCATAGTCTCCCTAATTTAAAACAATCATATTAAACACAGTCAGCAACTCTGGTTCTGTTGACAGTCAGAGCTGGAGCTATGGTTCAATGAGCTTTTAAGATAAATTTTCTGATGGGTTATTTTTGTGTGGCTGGTTTATGTTGTATGTATTATGAACAGAGTATCTGAAAGCAGGCTCTCAGAGAAAGAGAGATGGGCAGTAAAAACACCTTTAAGAAATTTCTATGAAAAATTACCTTAATTCAGGAGTGAGGGGTAAAGATGTCTTTATGCAAATGTTGAGAATATCTAATTTTTTACTCTTTGATTTTCTTGATTTCTAAAACTGTTTATACTGGACCTATGTTAATTCAGACCTATGGAAAGATGTAACTGTCTCAGATCAGCCAATGTACTGAAACTCACACTAGCTTTGTACAGAACCCACTCGAAAAGCTGGGAGCTTGCAAAGAACAGAGGAAAAGGCATGCTTGCACTGTTACATCCATTGGAAAATACAGTTTCACATTTAGAAGCAATTCTGCACTTTTCTTCCTCAAGTGATTAGACCTTTTGATTTCCAAAAAGAGAAAGGGTTCAACATTATGGTATTTCAAGAGACAGCTTTCACATAATGTAAGCATGAAACATACAATCAAAAGATTCAAGTTCTAAATTACACTTTTCTTCAAGAAGGAGATTGTGCAGGACAGTTTTTTACTTCTCTCTGGAAGTTACTGACCACCTTACATTTCACTTGAAACATTAAAGCTTAGAAATTTATCTAGATTACTGTCCATTTTGATATTATTCCTCATTATTACCCAGCCAATGGAATCACATAGATACTTCCTGTGTTACAGCATTTGCCGTGGTGATTGCTATCAATTTTAAGGAACCCTTTTGACTATCTCAGTCTGATTCTCATCTTACTCAAACTGGTATAAACCTGAAAATTGTACATAGCTCCCCCACAGCGTTAAGAAAACCAGTCTCCACTAAGTAAGCTCCTGGAAGATAGTTTCTATTCTATTTCAGAATATCATAATATCCAGTAATATCCAGCAAAGGATATTCCTTTCCATTACCTGTCCATGACTTGAATCTAACCTCACTGAAGTTAATGTCAGCATAAGGGAGAGCAAATATGATCTACTGACTGTGGTGGTGTTGCTACTGTCTTACACATAAATATACTAAAACCTGATCACTTTGGTATTTGGCACTTAAATGAAATTCCTACTGAACTAAACCATTCCTTTTCATGTGTGACAAGTCTGCTATATTAATAGCAAATAGAAAAATTGTGAGTATTTGGAGAGATTTACATCGGGTCATGAAGATTAGTCAAGATACAAGACGAATATGAAGAACAGTGAAAACACTGCAATTATTATTATAGTATGTAGCATTTGGCATCTGAGAGAAAATAGAATTAGGAGACAAAAATTTGAATCTGTGTGAAAGCTTGATATTCACTGTTGCATAAAAGCTTCAAGCTGTAGTAGCTTGAATAATACAGAAGTCTGAGAACATGCTATATAATGTGAGCTAGTGTAGACCATAGTCCCATAAACATCATCAGTGTAGACAATAAATGGCTGGGGCTCTAAATGGGTGCTGCCTTCTCAGGTGACTACACAGGGGATTGAACTCTTATTTGGGTAACTTCTTAAAGTTAGGAAGCCTGATCATCTCTGCTCTCCCATGATGACTTCCATTATTTTTTTCTCAGGCTTTCCAGACAGAACCGTCACAATAAATTCAATATTTCAGTTATGTTGTAATTATTGCAGAGGGGCTGCCCAGCTGGACCTGCCGTATGCTGTGAATTAAAGGTGCTGTATTGCATCATGCATTTGTATCAATGCTCATTCTGCCTGGGCACACTGTTCTCACTTGTGTATGCACACAGGTGGTCTGCACATCCACACTGACCATCAGGCTTGGTTTCCTTTGGCTAGGCTGCTCCCATCAGAAACTGCACATCTGAAAATCCCTAATATATAGCCAAAGTATTTAAATTCTCTTTGTGCAAAATTTATTAGATGGGAATAGGTACGTGTAGGAAATTCTTACAATTTTTTCTATCAACAAGGAAGTTGTTCAGTAGGGAAATTCAAGCTTTGACTTAAATAACTGTAAAAAAAATGAGTCCAATAAAACAAAGCCCTTAAAACACATTAGTCAAAAAGCAATTCTTTTTTTTTGTCAAAGCCTGGCAAATAAAACGATGTTTTGTAATACCTGAAAAATATTTAAGAAAATTGAATACATAATTTGACTAACATTATTTTCCTGCTAACAGGAATGACCTACTTCAGAGCCTGGTCCTTAATGGCAATTAGGATTTTCACAGACTCCAAAGTTGACAATAAGTAGCAGGCACTCACCTTGCTAGCTATACAAGGCAATGTCTTTGCCTTCTGTTTATCTTCAAAGACCTGTCACACCAAACAACCAATAAAGGAAGAAAAAAATTACCTTTGTTCCTTACTGCAAACCTAGGATTTACCTTTGGTCCAGGAAGGCCAATTCCTATTGATCCTTTTAGTCCAGGAAAACCTTGATTTCCTTTTTCTCCCTGAATAGAATATGGAAAGGAAGTTTAACTGAAAATGAAAGCAAAATCTATGCTGTATCTATTCACTTTATAACATTCTGCATCATAAAGAAAGCCAGGTATTTGTATTATGCCATGAAGCACATCATTTTCAAGACAGAAGTGGTCTGAAGCTGGAGAAATAAGCAATTGGCTATGATTTAGAACACACATGAAGCCTTTACACAGTATGTAATGAAGAATTTATTCCTGATTAATTAAATGAAAGAAAAAATTCACTGAAACAGATGAAAGACAAAAGTAACCTCACTGAGGCTCAGATGGTTATTCATCCAGTCTACAAGCAGTAAAATGAGGTCCCACCCAAAGGTTCTCTAGAAATACACACTGAGAATCTCTGCAGGATTGACTTAGTTTTTCTGATCTTAAGTAAATAAAAAGACATCTCTGCTTTTCACAATGTGGAGAGCAGGACATCTTTCTTCTGATACTTCAAAAGACAGTATCAGTCCAACTACAAAGTTCAAATTTGTTTATATTGATTGTCACACATGTCCTGCTGCATGCACACAGACCTGAAAAGCATGTTCATGCTAGCAGTGTGGGCATACAACATGTTATAAAACACAACTGTTATAAAATATGTACAGAAAATCCTTTACAACATCTGGCTTCCAGAAACTTTCCTGCTTTATTTAATAGGGTAACACAAATATTTTTTTCAGATCAACCACTGCATACATTTTAAACACAGCTAGAGGTGATTATATTCCTTGGTACATAAATGCTTCACCATAATTCACATTACATACATAATTCACATAACAGCAGTGCTAGTGCAGATACCAAAACCAGCTCCAGAGAACATCAGTGAGATCAGGAGCAGTCACCACCTGTACCAAGCCTAGTTTCTGAGATGCAAGTAGAAGGTTAGTTAGTTTTATTTTTCTGTCAAGAGCCCTCAGACTGTCTCACTAAAGCATCTTTTACTAATACTTGTATAGCTGCTCACAAATGGGTCTAAAGGGGTTATATTGCTCATAATGGGCAGAGAAATACAAAAATGTTTCCAAATGTGTCAAAGACTCCAGCCTTCACCAAAAGCACAGTAGTGCAGAAGGACTGACACTGACCATTCCTGAAAATGCTGGATAGGGGCTGATGGATTTCTGCAGGCAGAGAACCAGCTGCACAGCGCACAGCCAAGTCAACCTCCTCTTCCTTGTACTCGAGGCTCCCGACTCCCATGAGCTGGGAGTTCACCAGGAGTTAGACAACGAGATGCAGCTCCTAGAAGAGGCAGTATACTACGAGTCATGGTCCATGGATGGTTTTCCCTGCCTAAATTCCAGATTTGACTTGACTGAGATCGTGCTGAGATGGGAGCTTCTGATTGCACACGGGTGTGTTGTGGTCTTGCCCTATGCTAGGCAAAGGCACGCACTGCACTCCACCGTTCACATCCCCACTGCAGTGCTGCCCTTCCAGCCCTGCCATGCAGGAGCCTCTTGGTCCACTAGCCCTAACTTGGGGAGATAAAATGCTCTGCTCATCATTGGGGCTACCTATCACTGACCTGCTAACTGGCAGCCTCTTGCTTCTGTAAGCAGAACTTCTCCCCTTTCTCTCTTCTCAACTTCTTATAGCAGCAAAAATTCAGACACTGTTATGTAGACTCTGGAGCCTCAAAAAAAAACTGTGATGCACCAAATTACATTGCCGATTCACTGGGGGGGGAGGGGGGGGAATAAATTTCCTGCAAATAGGAAATATTTCCAAGTCAACGGGATGCACAAAGCAATTTATTTTGTGCTGTTGTAGGAACACACAGTGACTATTTAATCTAATTTACCTTAAGTCACTTTTTAGCTGGATTGTGCTTCGTGGGTCCCTCATGCAGGTTATTAATGCAAATGGCTTTTAAACATAGTGAATCAGTGTGCCAGCTTGTTTCAATGCTTGCCGCCCAGCACTGGGACTGACTGTCCTTCCTGACTAGGGTCATCACACAGCTTCCCGATTAACACCTTTGCAGATCTGCAAAGCACATACATATAAACCAGAATGAGGATATGCTGTGTATTCCAGTGGTCTTTCACTAATAATAAATGTCAGATCCGACAAAACTATAGATTTATTGCTGTCATTTGTTAGCACCCATTTGACATTGTTAGGGTGATGTTCAGGCAATGAAAACTGAACAAGGCCTATTGTTCTAAAAATATTCACACCTGTACAGCTGACATTTTCCATGGGCACATATGTGAGTTTTATCCTTTAAAATGTCAACTGCAGAACCAAATCTTGATTTCTCTACTTGTGCAATCAATCAACATAAGAAGGATTTATCATAGATACCATAACTGAACATTTACTAAAAACCAAGAAGAATGCTCTATTAATTTAAAAATATTTATTGCTTTGCCAGTTCAATCCACATACATAATTAAATTCAAACTTGACTGTCGCTCTTATCATAAAAAACAAAGTGGTATGCATGTAAAAATGCAGACCCTTAGATCCCTGACCCTAATATCCTGCTAGATTACTGATCAATAAGCAGACTTCTATGTAAAAATGTCATTCTATTAACTGAGTGCAGATCTGAAAATGTCTAGACTGTGGTTTTGAGAGGAAACCAAGCATAAAAAAAGAAGACCTGTGAATGTAGCTATCAACAGAAAGTTACTCAAAAACCATCTCACTTTTGACATTCCACTCTTACCATACGCAGCCTGAGCTCTGTGTATATGTAAAAAAAATAATACTTGGAGTGATATTGATAGTTCAAATGCAGGAGTATAGTACCTTTAAGCTGATGAAGAGTGGCCAGAAAGAATGAAGCTTGACATGACTGTGAAGAGACAGAAGGAGAGACGAGACAGACAGAAGCCCAACAAGCATCAGCGTATGGAGGAAACAAGTACTACAGGAACAAGATAGTTGACAAAGTTGTTCAGAAAGAAATTGTTCCTAAGAATTACACAAAGGAAATCATAATTTTAAAAAAGCAATTGTTAAGGGAAGAAAATTTAAATGACAAGACTGTACCTACACAACTCGTGGAATGCTATAGAAACAACACTGGCTGACTTTAATTCACCATATCATCACAGTTTTGGTTTCAAACCCAAAGACAAAACCCTTCCATAGCCAGAGCACATGTTACTTTCCTACATCCCTAAATTCCGCATCCTTACATTACAAACATGCCTTTGTCTGACAGTGTGTGTCGGTGGGCCGTGTTCTTCCACTGGAAAACTTCCATGATGAAACCGAATTCAATACACTTCTAAAATATGTTTTAGATATTTATTCATGGCGGTGCCAACATAACATCCAAAACTCTGTGTGCATCTATATAAAGACAGATAGATAGATAAATAGACAGATGGATGCATATGTACACACTGAGCATATTTTGACTAACTTTTATCTTTTTTCAGGAACAGAGAAAATATTATATAATCTGTATATTTTTTCATGTATCATCAGATGCATTTGATTGCTGAAACATTTCTGTTCAGAATGGGAATTGAGCTTTTATAAATAGCCTCACATACTCACAGAATTAACAAAGATATATCCCAAGTATGGGATTTGGGAAACACATCCGAAATGTCTACGAAAGCCAAGCAGGGTTTTCCTACACCATAAAGCCATACAGAGATGGCAGAAATTTTGCTATTTTCCACAAGAATAGAGCAAAGAGCCTTCAGAGATTCATCAAATAAAGGAGAAAGAGAAAATAAAATAAGTAGTTCCTTATGCCCTCACATTAAAATACACAATAGCTTTGTGGTTACTGGTAACAATTAACACAGAAAACTGCAAGCAGATCAGAACCAAAGGTCTAGACAGTCATGACTCTAACCATGTAGAGATCTTTGTCCAGGAAAGTCCTGAGATGAGATAAATCAGAAGCTGTTAAAGAGAGTTATCCAATAAGGAGAAAAGAAAGATCACAGTAAAGCATGTTTTTATGCTAGGAAACACCTAACAGTGAAAAAAGGAAGGGCTCTCCGCAGTATAAAAAGGGCAATGATTGAACATGAATATAAAAATAGAAGACATTGAAGCTGGAATCAGAGCAAGTACTGAACAAAAGATATTCAGAAGGAATCAGTGCTTTTCTGGTAAAACTTGTGTGAAATAATTCCATGCTGAACCAAAGAAATGCTCTCCTCTGAAACATTTTGCCAACAAGGTACATTTTAATGATTTTGTTTGTTTGTTTCAGCATGTCACCATTTTCCAATGAAAATCTATTTTGTCAATGAATTCCCTGGTATCTTTAGTGTCTACAGCCAACTGCAGTATAGTGTCTACAGCCAACCGCTTTCTTAATCCAACTAAAACAGTGCCCTTCTTACTGAATCACTGGTAGTTTGATAACCTAGAGTTGGAGAGCTGAGTACAATCCTCCTGATCCAGGCAAATACTCAATCATATGCTCAACTTCACTGACTTAAGAGAAATAGGAGAAACTTGGGTTGTTCTCCACTAGAGCCTCCAGTTTTAATAATTTTCTTCCACACATTTATGACAAGGCAATTTATTAACTCTGAATGTTCACAATATGTTACCATGTTTGTGTTTCTCCTTATAAGGAGAGAAGTTGTGGTTATGGCTGGAAGTGGGTGAGTAAAAACCTGATGAAGAGTATGTGGGAGACTGGCTAATTTCTTCTATATTCCTATATGTGTTGTTTCACTTATCTTGACGTGGTAGATCTCTGTTACTGTCTTTTACAAAGGTATCCACAGAAAACACTTGATGTTTTCTTTGCAAGGTCCTTTAATTTTAAGTAAATCAGTAAGATATGGCAGAGATGAGACTTTTTTCCCAGGTTAAATATATTTGTAACGACGAGAATAATAGGAGAGCAATCAGGTGCCGCCAATACTGAAAACTCAACAGTTAAAGCAAATATTACATATCTTATGAACAAGAAACTTAAATATACAATGAATATTTGCAGGAGTTCACTGACTTTGTGGCGAAGAGAAAAGCAGACAATGAATCTCCTTAAGAGACAGTTTTGTGAAGAAATTGGACAGATATCACATTAAACTGGATTACCTTGCTTCCTTGTATGCTGTTGCCAGGGGGGCCAGGTGGACCAGGCAAGCCTTTCCGTCCCATAATACCCTATAACAGTCAGTGGGGCAAAGAAAGAATTAGGAGGTAAACTCTATTCCTGGTAACACTAAGGAAGTAACCTCAAAGTCACTGCAAGCAAAAAGTAAAACCCTAGTTCTGATTCTTCTTTGGTTTATGGTTTCTCACTGTGGGCCTTCGTAACTACCCTCGACAAATTCCCAGGAAAGCAAAGGAACAATTAAGCTGAAAATAATTAAAGAATAAAATTTGCCCATGACACAGTGTGATATTTTCTCTAGTTTTTCCTGTGTAGAAACTAGCAGAAACCATCTTTATATAAACAGCTTCGTGCAATCACTCCACACAAGGGAAGCACAACAGTAGAGGCACATAGGACCAGAGCAATAAAACCCAGTGTGAGTAAATCTGCCAGGCACGTTAGCTAGTTCTTGTGCACCGTGTATATATGCCAAGCCCCTGTGGTGCCACAGTCTCTGGGAGCATCAGTCATTCAGAAAATCATAAGTGGGAGGGGAAGAGAGAAAAGCCAAAGCAGCCCCTGCTGATTTGTGTCGATACAGTCAAAGCCAGGTAAAGCCCTTGTGCTTTGGAGGCAGGCTAATCTAACATTTCAAAGTGACAAAGTGAAGCATATCTCTTTGATTACATCAAAATTAAATGTCCACTTTTTTTTTCCTTTTAGTTGAAAAAAGCTTTTGAAATTTGACCAAGCTTCATAAAAGTTTCTGTAGAGTTCAGGTTGGATTTTTGATTACTGTCTTATAATAAATAATCACTGTCCTCCAATACAGTAAAGGGAATTCATTCACTGGTATGTAAATTACCTACATTTTGCATATGTTGAATATTTAGGCAGAAATATCAGAACTTGATCATCATTAAATAGAAATATGTAGCTCTAAACATTTAACTTCTAGATATTAGTGATGCTTGAAAAGTCATCATTGTCATCTGTGTAGACAAAAAATTTGCCACAAACTTTGACAGAATCTCTTCTGAAAAATACTGTTATTCTCTATATTTATAAGCAGGGATTCACACAAAACGTTGTGCTCAATAGCTTATCTCAAGAACTAGATGCTACAAGTAGGTCCTCACCCTTGAAAACAAAACATTATTTCCTCCCAGAGAACACATTTTTCATTTTCAAAGGCTTTGTGGAAGCAGCACATAGTGTCACACATTTGTAAGATTTTGACAGTCAGTCCAAACTTACTTTTTTTAAACAGACTGTGTCTGTATGATTTACCAAGGTACTGAAATTGCTGCAGCTTTCAGGAAGCAAGGTAAAGTCAGACATGCATCCTGAGAAAATATTCATGCTCTGTCGCTCATTGCATTTCTGTAACAGGTTGGTAACAGCAATGTTTCTCCAGTCAGATACTAGTTTATTCCAAATGGCAGTGGAGACTTTTGTTTATCTCTGCTAAGGAAATCACAGAAAAAGTTACAAAGGCATATTTATTTTTAACTTAAGTGGAGAAATACACACAATGTTTCTCCTCATTGCCTTTGTAAAAATAATTGATGGATACACCTATAATAAGGAAATCCAGGTATGCATTGGATTTCTCTTCTTACCAGTAGGTCTTTTTTGAATTATAAATCACTTTAGTGGAGGGAGGAAAAAATTGCCCAAATGTTGCATGATGGCTGCTTATGGAATTAACTTTCTGTTTTCGTGTTTCTTTCCTAATGGTTTTACTAACGAAATTAATTGGATTCAATTTCATTGTGCAAAAATTGCAAACATAAAATTCACATTTAACCTATTTTCTAGTACAAAAGAATCTCTTTGAAACAGAATAAATACAAACAGAAGAAATGCATCATTTAACTAATTCATCAGCCTGACAGTTCCAGCGGTAATCTCATAAAGTTTAGCTGCAAATGCAATTTCCATCCAGTTAGTAGTCCTTCCTAATCCAGTTGGTAGAAGTGCATGGTCAGTGCCCATGTTGTTGTGCTTGATTTCTCCTGCAGTTGCACCAATGTAAATCAGTAATTGATGAAGGTATTTTGGTGTCTGAGAGATCACAGTCTGGCAGCCAGCATCACAAAAGAGCATAAAAGCTTCAAAACGGCATCATACCAACCTTGGGACCAACCATTCCGCTTCCCCGTGGTCCTGGGGCCCCAGGATAGCCTCTTATTCCACAGTCTCCCTGAAAACAGTCACAGAAATGTCAGTAATTTATCACCTACTAACTGCTACATCTTTCATCCACTTACGAAGCAGTCAGTCAAACTACTGAGTTTAAAAAACAAAACAAACGTTACATACATAAACAGTTGCTTTATAGATAGATATAAAAAAAAAAAGCCCAAAATGCAGGCACCCACTTTATTTAAGCTCTAGGTGAAGAACATTATTCACCAAGCAAAGGTCCACATGATCAAAATCACCAACAGAGTTAGGACTCTAATTTGCAAACTTATCAGCTACAGAAGAAAAAGAAAAGCAAACTCATTTGGAAAAACTACCATTTTTCCATCATGTTCTGCAGGGGCTTACCAGGATGGACAGGGAGCTTACTAGTGGGACACAACAGTGGTCATGCCCTTTGCTGATACTGTGCTTATTCTGAAACTAGAGACATTTAATTTCCAGAACTGTCAAACTAACATGTTTAGAAAACTAAATGAATTTTAATAGCATTGATATAGAAGAACAAAAAGAACAGCCCTTTCTTTGTTTTCTTCAAAAGCCTTAATCCACATATGTTTAGCTTTATTTCTTAAGAAAATGAGGCTTAAGTAATACTCTGCCCGTGTTTCTGCTTGTCTGTGTTAGTCCACTTTTTTCTCCCAGTATATTTTGAACTCATCAGTTGATTTCAGCCAAATCCATCAGAAATGTAGAGGCCTTGAGCATATTCATTTTTGACAGTTCTGGTGATAATTGGAGGCTGAGTAAAGGAGAGAGATTAAATTTATGCTTTTAGTGGGGGGAAAAAACCCCAGAGCGGGCTCATCCTTTCACCAGGAGGCAGACAGGACAGAAGGCAGGAGCTGGCTGACCAGGGGGAATGCGGGTAACGCTGAGCCCGGTGCTGCCCCTCGTGCTGCAGACAAGCCCAACGAAGGAGATGGCGGTCAGGGGACATTACTGGTAGGGGCAAGGCATGGGGACGTAAGAGGTAGTTTTGTTTTCCTCAGTCTATAATTGTGCAAATGAGAGAATAGGCACACATTCAGCACATGAGGACTAGAAAACTTCCATGAGTTTAAAAAGAAAAAAGAAATCTGTAACTGATAAGCTATAGATGCAGAAAATTCTGAATCAAGTTTAGCAAATGTCCCTAAAACTATGCCTGTGCAGGCAAGTGCAAAAGAAAGAAATGTTCTGATAAGCTATTGATCACCCAATATATTAACAACAGAGCCAAGAAGAAATTGTATTTCTTGACCAAAAAAAAAATTTAATTACGAAAACTCTTCATTGTACTTGTTTTTGCACTTGGAAAAGCTGTAGAAATGGCTGTGCCTGCAGAGGGAGCATTCTAACTAGGAGAGAGGTGCAAGTATGAATCACACAAATCACAGATGACACTTGAGTTGTGGTAGGTGAAAAGAAACAACATATCAAACTGATTAAAAAGGAAGGAAACAAAAGTACAGAATCTTTTACTGACTGACTTTACTTTCTGGGAGGAACGTGTGCAGTTATTATGACAACTGCTTTTAGGGGAAATACCCAATGTTCAATGTCTAGTGAGAGATCACTCCAATCTGTGTTTTTTATATATGGCTATGATACTCTCATGCTAAGTCCTGACATATGTGCTATTTATGTAAATATATTAGGACCCAAACTATGCTCAGGTTTGATGGATTTGGAGAGGTGGGAACTCTGAATCCAAAGGCTAGGGCTTAGATTGAGCTTATAATGCTTTCCTTCTTGATGTAACATTTGGCTTCTGAATTTATTTTCAATTCCTCTTTCTTTCAAAGCATTGGAGTCTGGCCAATTTGAGTCAGTATGTAGGCATGGTACATGGATGCTCTTAGCTTTAAATTGGTGTGTCAAGCTGATTGGGTTAAACTGATTGCCATATCCAGTTGGGAGGAAATTTCTCCCTCAGATTTCATCAGAGAGGGGATTTTGTTGTTTTTGTCTAGTCTGGTTTGGAAAAGTGAACTAAAGAGAGAGCTACTCTCTTCAGTAATGTTCTTCTGCAGATGACCTTAGGCTTTTAAATCACACCTTCCCTGCTAATGCAAAGAGATATCGGCAATGCCCTTGAACTTTCTGCCTTTTTTTTCCCCCCAAATTCTAGCTATAAACTGTTAAAGATTACAACCTTAAGTACCTAAAGATTGTAGCACTTAAGTCTGGTGGGAAATGCCTCTCTGCAGTGGGATGAATGGTAGATATTCCTGATCTTTTAAAATATGCCTGGTTTCTCAATTTCTCCTGCCATACATTTCCTTACAATTAGCTTGAGATTGTCATATTACTAGGAAATACTGAATGTCTAGGCAAATGCAGTTATCTTCCTATCTGGTACCATCTATTAAGAAAGGAATAATCATTGTTCCTCAATGTCCCCGTAAACCATAATACAACCTTAATCTGTTTGTAGGAGAACTCTTCATGAACAGAAGTCGTGCAGAACAGCCTCCCTCTGAAACCTGCCAGAGGTGTCAGAGCTAAGAGGTGGATATACAGATAAGACTTTGCATTCTAAGTTTTTTTAGGAGATCCTGGGCTGCTGTGGCCTGTGAAACAGCCTGTAAACCGCTGTGATGGAAACTGAACGGGAGGCTATCAAACAAGTAAATGATTCCTTATGGTCCAGTATCCAATATACCTACAACCTGCTCTTAGATCAGCTCTGACCAAAAGGAGCGTAAGGCCGACTTGAAGTCATCTGCCTCTTCCTCCCATGGGTAACACATTCTTACACAGGGTCGTTGCAGGTGAAGGACCGAATTGTAGCCTCACATGCTTAGTTAATACCAGATGTCTCACTGAAAAGCTCTTTTGTAGAGCATTATAGTAATCCTCAAAGTTTCTGTATTTCTTGGCTTAGAGAAAAGGGCTTTTATTTTGCTTTATGAGTTGTGAAGTGGAGCAGTTCTTTTTTCTAAGGTGTGACTGTGACACTAAACTGTCTTCTAAGGAATTAATTTCAAGAAGGATTAGTACTGTTCTTTGATGAGGTTTAATTTATTTCCTATATTGTGCTTGTAGACAAGCTTGTCACCATCAGCAAAACAGTGAACTAGAAAAACAACACCGAAACAAGAAATAAAGAGCTGAGTCAAGACAGTGTAAAGTATGGGATTCCAATGTCTATTCCATACCATTCATTCAAGAAAATTCATTAAATGACCTAATGCTCACCTGAAAAATAAATCTTGGCTTCCAAATATATACACCTCATTTACTGTGAAGCATGTGTATTTGATACTGAAACATACAATAGACACTGTAATACTGTCTTTAGTGAGAGCTAGTGGATATAACAGTATTTGTAAGTATTAAAAAAAGACATTGCATATCTACTTTCCACATTTTAGTTCAAATAGACAGGGCCCAAGCTGCAAAAGTTATTTATATTGCAACTGGATCCAGCCCAAATGTTCATGCACTAGGGACTATGCTAGGGGTTTTAATAATCCTTCTGCTATCCAGTTACTGAGAATGAAGCTTGCTGTATTTCTAGTGCTGGGCTCTTCCTCTTGAATGTCTGTAACCAACCTCCTAGTTGGCAACAGTGCTTTTAAATCAATTTTTTATTATATTCTGACATTATGTGCTTCTGTTTTAATGCTACAGAAAATAGGGTGCTGCCAGGATTGAATGCATCCCACATGTTCCAATTTTGTTTTCCTGTGAATTTGACCTCTGATACATAAAATTCCTATCTAGCAGTGTGCACATATGTGAGCCATTTCTGAAAGTGGGGAGAACAGAGCTCTGATTCAGCTGAGTGGAACATTCCTATATAATGATACTCAAAGGAATTTCAAATTAACTACTGTGTAAATTTATGAGTCTCTTTTATCAAATAAATGTTCTTTTTTATATGCAGAGCTTGTTGCTGTTCTTATATTCATTTTTTTTATGTGGAAGGGATGAGAGGTAGCCAGTGCACTTACATTTTATTTTAAAAAACAGAAGATTGTCCATTTTATGAACTAAGTTCTGGGGGATTTCTTGCAATTCAAGTGATTTTTTTTTTCCTTGTGGCACCTTTGCTACCAGGAAGTTATGTAGAGACTAAGGATCCAAAACTTTATATAAGCAAACAGGAGCAAAAAATCAGGGAGGGAGAAGAGATGTTTATATACTTTGTTTCTTTTTTCCAGCGTACTCTACACCATGACTAGTGTAAATGCCCAGAACTAAATTACAGATGTGACTACCTATTCAGATAATGCATGCTTTAGTGCAGCAGTCAAACACTGCAAAAGCAACAGCTGCTCACCATTTATACAAGCAATGTGCATTTTCCCCCATAGGATTAATGCACCAATCTAGTTGCATCATATAAAAGAAACTTACCTATTTTAAAGTAAAAAATACAAATTAAATTTTTATCAGATGTTTTTAACTCTTGATTTTTTTAATTTTCTGACAGAGACTGTTAGATAGGCATTACTCTGAGCAGCCAGATTTGATGGGCAATATCACACTGCAACACAATCAAGCCTGTAGATCTACGCAAAAGTTTTCATACAAAAACTGATGTAAGCATGATTTGCCCTAATTGTGTCGTGTTACTTGCAAAGACGGCTACTCTACTGGGTTCTTTGTAATACTACTCCTCCCACAACAAGATGCCACTTCTCCATAACCCATGGGTATGGTGCGTCCTGAATCTACCTCACAACTGGTTATTATGAGTAGAAACCTCTCCTTGATAGGCAGCTTCTAACTCTATGTATCCATCAACAAATAGTGCTACAGGCCCAAAGCAGTGAATTTGCAGCCTTATGTTTACACTGTATGCAATGTGAGGAGACCTGCCTGGTCAGCTCCTGTGGACTGATCACATGCTGGGGATAGAAGGACATTAAGAGCACTTCCAGATCAGATCATCTAGTTCAGCTTCATCTGAAGGAAATCCATTTCCTGGGTTTTGGGACTGCTCAGATCTCTTTTTGGTTTGGAACCCAAAGCACAGTAAATGGGTCCACTGGGAGATTCACTTCAACAGTACATTTCCGACCCAGCCTAAAACACCCATGCAGATCACCTGAGAAGACTGAGTTCGTGCGTGTGGCTGCCTGAACTAGGCTGACTGCCCATGTTGAGGTCTTGCTCCTTTGGCTGTATCTCACAACCACAGGAAGCCCTCTTCTATTAACCTGAAAACACAGCTTCCTTTGCATCCATGTTTTTTGACAACTTAGTTCTTACAAACAAGCTACGTAATTCTGACATTTTTTTTTGACAATGAGATGACTTGATGGAAATGAAGAAGATACTTTTAATTTACATGACAACCCTGATCTGACCTGAAATTGCCAGAAAACACATGAGGATAGTGATATCAATTTATCAGCTTGCCTTTGCCTAACTTTTCGCTGGCTCCTTTATAGATAATGAATTAGGACAAGGGTTTCTGTTACTAGATATTCCATTATAGTATTTCCTGTTGTAATTAAATACTATCAAACTATAAGAGCCTCACCTCTTGATCACAGGTATTTCATTTTTGCTCAGTCAAATTCAGGTAGAAGTAATGGGCCTATTACCAAATTTACTATTAATTGATATGTTCAACTAACACAACACAGGTCATATTCCTCCACAAAAAGATACTAACAATAAACCTCCTTTACTAGTACCATGAATATACTTCTGCCCATAGATCTGGAGGGATGGTAACACTTCTTATGCTATTCATGGGTGGAGAAGAGACTGACAAGTAAGGGTTTGATGTCATTATAAAGGAATATGAACAACCCACTTCAACTGGCAACGATGTACATCACTTAGAGCTGAAGGTGAAAACTGTAAGTACCATGATAGACAATTGATGATTTAAATATATATGTTATGTTATCACAAGACTTACAGTGGTTTAAGAATGTGATAAAAAGACTAGATCCCATGTTCTCCATTGCAAAAAAATTGATACATTTTCTTTTACTTTACAGCTTTTACCTCCATCCCTCTAATGTGTTTTATGATACCATATTGTATTTCCATCATTCATGATCTGGGTTGGAACTTCCCTAATAATTACACAGCCAAAGAATTGCTTGTGCCAGCAATTACATGAATTCATGATTGTAAAAGAACAAAACAGACTTGTGACCCACTTTTTGATCTCTCATATGAGCCAGTTACTATGATTCTTCTAAGTGCATTTCTGTATACTTTATATATTTGTGATACTTTCGAAAAACACAACCACAAATGTTGATTAAAAAAATTCCAGTTGTGAGAAATTTCACTGCAATTATTCTAGTGGTTTCCTTTCACTTAAAAAAAAATGGTTTATTTCCATTTTGGATTTAACTCAAATTTCTTTATATTAAACCCCTAAATTCTGATTTATATTTCTAGGGTTTGTAATCTTTCAACCATGGCACCAGAGTGGGATATCATCTTATTTGATTACGTGACATGACTTTCCAATTCCTTTTCTTTGGAAATCACTGCTTTCCAGAATTATGCATTTAGAAAGTGAAGGGGAATTCCCGACACAACAATGTCTCTGGACATTCTGTAGTCATGTTACATTTTTATCAATATCTGCCTTAATAATTTCATACAAGAGTCTAGGGTTTTAATGAAATGTTCTTCTGTAGTACTAAGAAAAATGTCTTATAAGACTGTATTATATCAAGTCTGATATCTCTATTTGGAAAAGATATAATCTCATATAAAAAAATGTAATTAGTTTATCCGTATGTATTTTCTGTAAGTCTATATTGAATAACAACATTGAAATTACTTTTAGTTCTTTAGTAGTTTGTGTCATGGCCCAGACTTTGCATTACTTTATGTGAAATGTCTTGTACTGATAAGCTGTAATTCAGAATAGGAGCACAAAGCCAGGTTTCCCAGATCCCATTGTCAGACCATTCTATGGTCATTCTAAGGTCAGGTCATTCTAAGGATGAATGTCTTTCAGTTTTTACTTTATTGTGGATATGTTTTTAAGAGGTTATTGTTGTTGTTTATTTTAAATGGGAATTCTCATGTTCTGGGAACTGAAGTTGAAAGTTCCTTCTGTTTGGGAAAAAACTTGTTTGGGCGATATTTATTTTGCTTTCTCCTGCAACAGGGTGCCTGTTTCCTATTTCACATATGTAACAAGGAAATCATTAATAAAACCACTCTGAGGGATATTTTAAAGCAATTTCTTGTACAATTTTAGTCTTAATTCTCTTTTTCCAACTTTTTATAATGTAGTAGTTAGAATGCGACTTTTTAGGTGAATTACATACTGCTTAGAAGTTTATAACACTCTAGCTATTCTGTGTTTTATGAAAAAAACTTGGAAGTGTTTCAATGTTGTATTTCTAATCCTTTTATCAGTTTTATTTTGTTTTGGTTTGATTTTCTGCTGAGCTTTGCCTCCAAACTAATATTAATTTTAGATGAAGGTTTATAGTCTTCTCTTAGAAATCAATTTCTAGGAACTTTAAAAGTATCTCACTAGTTCCATGTAACCAACATTTCCCCTGACTCCTTTGAGGCCTCGTCCCTTGCACTTCTGTAGGAGAAAGGAAGTGCATAATTATTAGGCAATACTCTGCCTGTGTTGGTTTCTGACTTCCACACGGAACCTCCAGCATCTCGAAACATCCTGGGTCTTTGAATGTATGGAAAACCTGCAGATTTGCATCAAACGGGACAAAGCAAGAACTGTTTTCTATCTATCATGGCAGAAAAGTCTATGACAAGCTTTTCTTCTAACTAAAATGGAGACTGGGAGATGAGATCGCAGCATTTTGTCATATATATGCCATTCTAATCTAATGCACTTTTCGGAAGATGTTCTTCTACCTTGTCTACTAGTCAGATGCATGTACTACCATTGTACAAGTACCTTTGGTCCAGCGTCTCCCACGCCTTTTGGGCCTGCTGGTCCTGGGGGGCCTGCTGGTCCTGGCGGTCCCTGGTACAGCAGAGGAATAAAGCATGTCAGTAGTTGTCCTAAAGGAAGAGTAATTGTGTTCTTCAACATAGAAGAGAATCTCAGCAAGAGGTACAAATCTCTTTGGTTTTGCTGTATTTTGTAAAATTCTTCACATTTCTGATGTGTACTGAGGAGCAGACATCCTCAATCCCAGGTGGAAACGTGAAAAGACTACCAGGGTGGTAGAAAAAAAGTCCAGTTCTTGAATTAAGAACATCAGACTTGTTCTCAGCTTAGAGAAACCAATGAGAAAGCAGACATTGCCATGATTCATGCACTGCAGACATTACACATCTGGGATACCACAGCTAACCCACCTAAATTTGGGGTTGGATAACCCTAACATACTTTGGTGTATTTGTGTTCGATAGTCTGTTCTCCTGAACTCCCCACTCAATCCGTCACAGTCTCTTCAGCTGCTTTTCATACTGTTGGAGGCATCCGCAGCCTCGCTTTCAGTATTCATAGGGCCGATGTCTTTGCCCCATCACGCTACAGAGACTTAGCTCCAGAAATCTTGTCCGTGTCTGCCAGTGGTTTATGAAGTTGGTCTTTCCAGATAATGGGGTGTGGAAAGGTGGCCCAAGGAGAGGAAAGATGCATGCCTCAGCACAACAGAACCTTCATACATTTCAAGGATATGTACTCATGTGGCAGGGAGAAACAAAACCAGCTTTTACTGAAGCCTGAGACTGAGTTGCAGAGAAGCATGACTCCCATCGCAGTTGCAGATGGGAATCCTGGAATAAACATGATTTCAGGAATATTACTGCAGAGAAAAGCTTTTTTTTTTCATTGTCTAGTCACTAATAGAAATGCAGGAAGAGCATACACATAAGCTTGTCATCCTGTGACTAGGCAGACAACAATCAGCATTTGTATAGTTTTATTAATCAATGGTTACCAAACCTGGCTTCTCTTGAATTTTTTGATTAATTAGAAATTAAAAGTTTTCAGCTTCTCACTGATCTTTTTGATTCTGTATCTACCAATACTTCTTTTTCACATAGTTCAAACAGATATCTTAACTTGTAAAGCTTAAAACTTCAGTTCTTACGAGGCATTTTAAAGCCTACTAAAAGTTCATCAGTCATCCATTTGCATCACTGCCTTCTTCATGATTCCCTTTGCATTTGCTTTTCATTTTTATTTGGGATGACAGTAGGGTTTTTTTCATTTGTTCTCATGTCCTGTGTTTAATGGGTTTAGGTCCATTACTCCTTGACCCTCCAAGGGGGTCAAGGTCCCATCGCAGGTATTTGGGAGTGCCTTTGTGGTTGTAGTTTGAAATAAAGCCGTATGACACACATAAAGAAAAGAGTGTTAATGGAAGTTTGACATGTGGTGGTTGAAGGATGGCAACAGTACTTTCACTATCTAGCGAAAGGTTGGTCAAATATGTCTGTGTGGCTTTGGATGACTGAAATTTAGGATGATATGCCCTTGTAATGGAATATGTCAGCTAGAATACTCAGACATTAACCCCCTCTGGAGCTAACCACCAGAAAAGCAAGTGGAGGAAGAAATCTTCAAAAAAGGATTTAACCGCTAGGTATGAAAAGCAGCTGAAAACCCAAGGAATTGAAGGCTTCAGGATTTGGCCAAGCAGATGTTATTAAAAAGAAATGGGAGGGAGGGAAGGAAAAAAATTCAAAGCAGTGATTATACTAAACATGTATCAGCAGCAATGGAGATTTTTATGGAATTACAGGCTATCTTTTTCATGATGCTGAAATGAGAACAGTATATCTGGTTCTGACTGCCTGTAGAACTGGCACTGCATCTAGAACAGGAAAGCACTTCAAAATATATACGAAATATTTAAATTAGCTAAAGGATGACAGAGAAGATTAATTGCACTTAAGTAAGTAAATATTGAGTTATCACACTAATTCATTTTTTTTGTAGAACACAAAGTACAGAATTGAAATTGTACTTACAGCTTCACCTTTGTGGCTATCGCCTTTTGCTCCACGAGGTCCAGGTAGTCCAGGTAGTCCCCGGTTACCCTAAATACAAAATAGTAAGTCAGGCATCATGCCAATAACTGGATCATTAAAATGTAAGAAACATAAACTATTTAATATCCTTTTGGAAATATAGAATAGCAGTTACCAGCTCTAACAATTTGTTTGCAATGCTCAGAAATTTTGTGCTTATTGTTGCTTCAGTTGATTGAATTAAGATTTCAGAAGAACAGGAGTTCTCATTAGGAAATTATTAATTTCTAGATTTGTAGTAGCAGAGAGAAATCTTCAGAACATTGACTTTATCTTCAGCCAATACAAAATTAAATTTATTGTTAAAAAGGTAAACTTTTATGACTTTGAGGGTAAGTCCTGACATTTGAACAATGAATTTAATAATACTGAAACATAATACGCCAGCCTTAAGTTATCATATGTTGCACATTTTGCACTTCCAGGTAATCACATTGGTTCTCTCATACAGTAAAGTAAAACTGCATTCTACAAGGGAAAGAAGTAAAAGAAAGAAATACAACTGGTTAAGAAATATATAATTTCCTTTATAGTTTAGCCCAAAATTCTCTGTATGAGGAGACAATCACTCCTTCTGTTGACTCTTCCACTGATTTCCACTGAAGATTTGTGCATTTGCAAAACGTCAGTGCTTTCTTTCATGACCAGAAGAGAAGCAAATATCAAACTTTTCCTCTTCCCTCATTCCAGTGATCGTTTTCCTAACATTTAATGAGAAAATTAACTGAGCTTGCAACAGACTGTTCTTCACAGAACGAGGAAAGACAACATATTACTCTGAAGTATCCCTCAAGATATGCTAGCAGTCTGTACTGTAGATGTTCACATGACAGCACTGCCAATCGGAAATCCTTATTGATACTTGCAGGTCACATATCCACCCCACTCCTAAGCATGGTACATATATGGCCATACAGGGAGAAGTGTACACCCTTCACTCAGTCCCATGGAACCAAGAAATGTAAATGGATTCTCCTGTAGAGTGTTGGAGGATTAATTGTTAATATCCACACAGATAACATATCCTGAAGACAATTACACACAAATAGCAAATATTTCCCTGTCTATTCCAGTAAAAATAAATAGCTAGAAGAAACAAACTACAAATGACTGAAAACTGCTGTTTCATCTGTTCATTGTGCCTGGAAATTTCTGCAATAACATAATTCTTCAAGAAACTATGAATGGAGTCCTGATAGCAGCTCAGATCTCAGCGGCTGGTCTGTCTGAATACAGTATCTGTGACTGGAGAACAAACTGACTCATATTCTAGTTAGATATCCAACAAAAACAGACTTAGGGTCCTAATTTCCTGTCCCATGAACATCTGTACCATAGACACAAGCAATCAGATCTTCTTAATCAATTTAGGAAATTGGTTATTTTTAATATTTCATTGGTTATTTTTCATATTTTTTTAAACATTTTTCCTGTCAAGGAAAAACGAAAGAGCTGCTTTGGCTCTCCTAAAGATATATATCACAGGTTTAGGTTAGGAGGTAAGTGAACGAAGAAAGACAACATAGACTCAATGTTCTGGTTAAGATGAAACCCTGAAACCACTTTAAGACAGAATTTGGGATAGGGATGCAAGCATGCCTTATGCTTGAAGAAAATTGTACATGGGAGGTCACTCCTGTATGAATCTCTCCTATTCTCCAGTTTAAAGGGATAGTTTCACTGGAAGGCTTTAAACACAACCTGACCATCATTCAAATTTCATCAGCCCTGGAAATGATGCGATTCTGATCCAGTTCTGTAAAAATTTAATGAATGAGTGTGGTTCTAGTTCATAAATAGTTTTATAAAGGAAAGCCAATTTTACCTCTTCCTTATTCTTAATATCCATAGTTCTTGAACTGTGGATAAAATGAGAAATGTTTTAGAAATGTTTAATAACATTTTTTAACAAGAAAGGAAACCATGGATCATGAGTTCATCTCTATTTTTACTTCTAATTCCACTACAGTAAAAAACAGCCAAACAGATGTTTTAATTTAATCTTAGCAAATGACTGTAAATACCAAATACATGTTAACATATTTTCTTCTGTAAGAATTGGTATTTTGTCAAGTGGCTGGTTTTGCCATTAGCAACACAGCTATAAATCTACTTAAGTCAAATCTATGGCCAAATCTGCTATAAGAAACAGTTTTCTAGTCGAGATTATTTAGTTTTAATTTTTTATTAGCTGTATCAAAAATATACAAGAGATGGCCCAGGAGCAATTCTGTGATTACTGCTTCTCAGTTTTCTGGGGTCTGGAAAAGACAATCACAGTGACTCACTCTAAGTCAGTGCACTGGCAACAAGGCAAGTGCCATTGATGTCACAGATGGCATGCTGAATTAATTCATCTATTTCGCCAGCCTTTCCAGGGAAGGTTTTAAAGTAATTTTCTGAAGCAATAATATAGAGACAGTTGCTTCTACACACTTTCAAAGAAAAAAAAAAAAAAGATAAACAGAATATAAACATAAATCTTGTATCCATGGTCACTGTTAAGAACAAAAGCTGTCATAATCAAAACCTAAATGATTAAGTATATGGCTGGAAAATTAAGTCAAGTTCATCACTTCTTTTTATAAGAAAAACAGAGTGAAGTAGCATTCTAGATTATAGACAAAGTAAACAATTTGAGAGTTTTTGAAAATTCAAAAATACAGGCTACTGAATGCATGTGGATCAATGTGCTACCCAGCACCCTCTGGTAGGTGTACCGGTAAAAGTCTGCCAAGCCAGGAGTAAAGCATTATTGGTATCCCCAAGATGTTATCACACAAAAGTTATTGCATTCAGGTGCTTATTTTGAACTACATCATGCTAAGTACACATAAACTAATTGGTCTCTGAATTTGGGTCTATCAACTATATTCCCAAGAAATGAAACAATGTAATTGGCACCCTCTGGTAGGTGTACCGGTAAAAGTCTGCCAAGCCAGGAGTAAAGCATTATTGGTATCCCCAAGATGTTATCACACAAAAGTTATTGCATTCAGGTGCTTATTTTGAACTACATCATGCTAAGTACACATAAACTAATTGGTCTCTGAATTTGGGTCTATCAACTATATTCCCAAGAAATGAAACAATGTAATTGAGTGGAACTTTGTATGTGCAGACACAGGAATTTGGGTCTATCAACTATATTCTGAAAAAGTGAAACAGTGGAATTGAGTGGAACTTTTTATGTGCAAATACGGTAAATGGAGA